AGACGGGCATGAATTATTTTCATTAGGCCTCTGTTTACAAAGCCAGGCCCCAGTCAGGAAAGTTAAAACAGAAGTTATTTTCTCAATATGACTGGGTAATTGACCTCCAGTGGAAGACTAATAAGGAGAAGAAGTCAGGATTACCGCTTGCCTCGAAGGCACACAGAGAAGCAGTCAATTTATTTGTCTTATTTGTTTTCAATGCATCTGCAGGCAGGCAAGGAAGGAGAGAAGCACTGGTTTTTCACAGTGACTTTCCCTCTCTTCTGCCTCTGTTGTTCCCAGGACCGCGGAGACGTGACATTCTGTCCAGCTCTGTGCTTGGTCTCATTTGGAAACCCTGCTTGTTCGCCTAGCTGTGGCTTGTCCTCCGTCTTTCTGGCCGAGAGGAGATCAAGAATGTGGTCTATGGGGGTCTAGAATGCTTGTTTATTCAGTCAGGATTCAGTGTATGGCTGCATGATGCAGACTAAATAATGATATTTAGGGCCTAAACGATATATCAGGCAATACTCAGGTGTCCTAGATGTATTGGTAAAGCACCAGTGTTGAGAATTAGTGGTTTCATGACTGCATGACAGTCAGTAAAGCACTGTCTAAGTTTGGTCTTTAAAATAATATTGACTGGTATTAATGGTTAGCAGAATTTTTAGCTCTTAAAAATCTGTATTGGTCACATGATGCTCATATCAGTCAATCCTGTCGCAATTGTATTGCTATTATTAGTGCTTTTTCCACTGAATTTGTCCTCCTCATAGTATGTCCAAAATAAGAGTTTCATTGTGGTTATCTGAGCTTCAAGTGAGAAGTGAGGTCAAGGTGTTCATTTGGTCAAGGATGCATTTGGTTGTTTTCTTTGCTGTTCAGTTCTCTCAAAAGTCTTCACCAGCACCAAAGTTTAAAGGCATCAATGCTTGTCCTGTCCTACTTTTTTATTGTCCAGCTTTCACATTCAGAAAGAACTACAGATGACCATAGCCTGGACAGTTCTGATCTTTATTTGTAAAGAAAAATCTTTCTATTTGACACTCCTTCATCCTTGTTCTGCCAAGTACCAATCTGTGTCGTACTTCTCGACCGCTGCATAAAGCAACATGAACATAATAAATGAACCTCAGGGAGGTTAAAATTAAATTCATGAAAATGTGGGACGTGGACCCTTTAAAAGGCATGATGGCATTTGGTATATATGGTGTATGTGGCCAATATTTCATCTCAGTTTGGGGGCAACTAGCATTGTTCCATAGACATGGTTATAAGGAGGATGAATCCTAGCCTACTTGATTGTAAGCTCAGTCAGTACAAACTAACCCACCGTTACCATGAACTTTCAGCCCCTGCATATTGAGGATCTTTTTGTTCACTTATCAAGGTCTAACTAGCCAGCCTTTAGTGCTGTGGCCTACTTTAGTGCTGTGGTGAGGTCAAGGTCTTGATTTGGTCAAGGATCCATTTGGTTGTTTTCTTTGCTGTTCAAAGTACTTTTAAAGTCTTCACCAGCAAAAAAAGTTCAAAAGAATCAATATTTTTTCTGTCCTACTTTTTACTGCAGAAAAGGCCGTAGCCTGGACAGTCCTGATCTTTATTTGTAGAGACAAATCATTATTTTTGAAGCTCCTTCATCCTTGTTCTGTCAAGTGACAATCTGTGTCATATTTCTTGGCTGCTGGGTGGTTTGTTGTTAATAATTGATCCAGTTAGGCAAAAGCTGTCCACCACTTCTGCATCTTCACTATCATTGGTAAATTACTGCTCTGTTGTGTTGTCATCAACTTTATTTTTTCATATTGAGCTGAAGTTCCGTCTTTGCACTCTATGCTTTAAATTTCTTTCTGAGTGCCTTCAGGTCTTCCTCATCCACATATTAAAGTTACTAATGTTTTTTCCACCAATATTAAATCTTTGATAATCTTCTTCTATTACATTGCCACATATTGCAATACTCTCTGTTCTCTAAAACACAGTTTTATTGTTTTTATTGTTCATGGTTGTTTTATTTAGACCAAAATAACTTTGTTGAATTACATAGATACTTTTGGTCATCAAAATGCCCCCAAATATACACATTCATATGAATATTGCATTTATGCATATTGCCTTGTGCAGATGATATATTGTGCATTCCTAATTTAGTATGTGGTTACCATGTTCTATATTGTTTGTGGGTGAAAATGTCTGCATGTGGAAAACCAAAAGAGAAGAGCTTGGCATTGTTGGGAGAATAGAAACAGTTGTTCCTTACTCAGCGTCCCGCAGTTGGTGAGAACACCCAGCAAGAGGGTCCTATCACTAGAGAAGATTAGAAAGCTTCATTTACAGAGCTTGGAAAAGGCTTCTCTTTCCACTTTCTGACACCATTGTTCTCCGCGCTTTGGGTTCTTTTCTGCATGTGTCGACTCCCCTCTTCCGTCTGCCCTTCCGAGAGTCGTTCTTTACACTTCACATTTTGCCCTTTATCCTCAAAGCCTCTTCATATCTTCCCCTTTTCTGACACCCCACAATTACCGTCCATTTCCCAGTCTTTTAATTGGTCTGAGGGAGAAAGCCAGTGTGGTTCAGTCATTGAGGGGCTGTGAAAGTCGCAATTAATAAAGGACGTCATTACGTGGCGTTTCTTGTGAAAAAGACCTTGTTTTTCTATTTCAATGGAGCTCATTAATTTGAGCAGAAAAGAAAGTTGTTTTGTTTTTGTCACCATTGGAGCAGAGGCTTCCTGATGAGCCGGGGAGGTAGCAAGCTAATTAGCTCCCAGCCCTGTTGTGTGTTAGCACAGTAACACGTTCGTGGCTAATGAGCAACTTCAACCGATGTCACCTTCCGATAGCTGGTGCGTGTGACTTTCTAGGGCAGAATGCCAGACCTTGGGCAGGCGTAAGTGTGCATTTCCTCTAAAGCTTTCACCACTGTCTTAACCTTCAGCAGGTCTGGCCATGCTCACCAAGTCATTTAACCATGCAAGGCCTGTTTGGCGAAGTGAGTATACATCCACAATTAAAGGCTGTGTAATAGGGAAAAGAGCAGAAGTAATATATGTGTGTGAGTGTGCTGCGCGGGCTGCGATGAGTGGAGCCAGGCTGCTGTAGCATCTTGACCAGGTTTTAGATTCTGTAGCCTTGGGCGGTTCAGACTCACTCGGGGGACCTAATATGAACCACGCAATCTGCAATTCAGCCCTCGTCTCCGGGCTTATATAACAAACCCCAGCTCCACTCTTTCGCCAAGTAATGAAATGCATTTCGCATTGAATAATTTAATCAGGACATTGAGACGTGGAGGCCCTTTTTATGAATTCATTTATTTAGCCGGGAAATGGGATGAACAGTGAATAATGCTGCAGGAACACAGAGTCATGACATATTATTCAAAGTGCACCCTGCAAATTGGTGGTCGGTGACGGGCAAAAACTTTTTAACACCTGGATTCTAGCTTTTGTTGTTCGTATCATTCTGCTCCAGGTGTCTGTGGCTCCTAAAGCACTCTAAAAATTAGAAGATAACTTCAAACAAGTGAACGTGGCATGTTTTTGTGGTTGACAACAAGGAGTAATGTAATTGAATAAAGGCATGTCTGCAGTGTCTGTATTTTCTAGCACTGTTTATATATTATTCATGGTGTTGCAACTCCACAAGACATCGAAGCATACAGAATTAAAATGTACATTATGCCATGCTGACAGAGATTGCCTTTATAGCTGCATGTGGAGCTGCCTGCTCTTCCAATTTCCACCGATATGAATATACAGCCCAGTGTGAGATATTAACAAGCAGATTGTTAATGTTGAGTAACATTCTCTTGTACTAATTATGGTAGGTGTCCAGCGCTCGACTTTAGACTTTGGGCCAGGGGGTTCTTTGTTGTGGTCCGTGACCTCCCTGTACGAGAAAATTAATACATTGTTCATAATTGCACTAGGGATGATGTCATCACTGCCATGCTTAAGCAGTGTGTATTGGCTTCTTGAGCCTGGATCAGTTCACTTGCTATGCTTGGCCATTGTGCCAAATGTTATTACTGCTCTAGACATTATTTACTGTAGGCACTGCATTTGTGGAGCTAAGCCCTAAATTATTTTATCTGGCATGAATTAAGATGGCTAGCATCCAGTGGTCTCCCCATAATTTCACACAGCACGGAAAGTAGCACTTCAGTAACAAGTCAAATACAAACTGAGAAAGGTCAACACAGGAGATGGGAAACTTGAGACATCCCGTCTTAGCCAACAAGTGTGAGTGTGCTTGAGCGCAAAATGGTCTGCCCCAAACAGAGTAACACCCCCGGAACCAAGCTATCATGGCCAGAGAGAGAATGTCAGTGGAGGAAATTAACGGCCATTTCATTGCAGCAGACAGGATGAATCAGATTTAACTTGCATGATATGCTTTTCATTCATTATTATGGGGATAAGCGAGCTGGGACTGGGGCCAAACCACTGGTTCTCACAGCCATTTTATAACTTAATATGCACCATGAAACCTTACAAGAGATTTTTCGCATGCCACTGGCGTCCAGACGCTGTTACAGTCGCTGTGTTGTTAATTAAGGCTCTTGCTGGGCCCTGGTGGAATGAATTGTTCTGTGAAGCTCTCATTGTGTCAGCTTTGATCTGGCCTCATACACTTCAGCTGTACCATTTGTGTATGATTGGCAACACAGATGCATACCAAATGATGTTTATCTGTTTTCAATATGGTCATTTTCTTCATTTCATGATATTAATGGTTCCCAAAGGCCTGCTTACCAAGCCAAATTATAAAGTCATTACCTGTCACCTGTGTATTACTTCATTTGGTGAATGATACGCAGCAGACTGGGCTAATAGATTCAACATGTTGATGTCATCTTTGTTAGTAAGTTGCACCATCAACAGATGAGTTGCCAGCTTTTTTCAGCATATCTGTCTTGTATTATCAACTAATAAACTAGAGGAGCTTTGTATCAGATATTAAGCACTGTTGCAGTTTGTTTAGCATTAGCAGTGGATCTTCTGCTGTGTTCTTTAGGAGCCCCAACAGGACGTTACCTGAAGGAAGACATGAGCCACTGGCAGCTGCATGCACACTACTACCCTCCCCTGCTGCGCTCAGCCACTGTCCGTAAGTTCATGGTGGGCTATGAGATGCTGGCACAGGAGCAGCGGGATCTCACTCCAGAACAGGTCAGTCCTCCTCATTCAGGTCACTACACAGATTGGGGTACCTTAACTCTCTGTGGCTGGGCCTCAGGGTGGACTCCACAATTGGCTAACCCATTAGTTTTAGTGTTCTGCTAAAAGTTCTCAAAATAATGTAATATTTTGAGCATGTTCTGTAAAACAGAAAGTTGTGTCTTTCTTATTGCATCATATCCAGCTTTTCAGTATTCCTACTTAGAGCTGTTTACTGTGTTTTGCCATTCAGAGAACTTGTCATTTCTCTCTCTCAGACTGTCACCACTCACTTGCTGTTGAAGGACTATTTACATCATTTTAAACAGTACTGACCAATCATCGTTTAGAGTCATTTCTTCACCACTGGAGCTTTAGAATACTTGCACAAAATAGTGCATAAAATACTTGTTTTTAAGATGCTAAAAAAGACAATTTTTTCAGTAAGGTTTGAAAAGTATGCGGCCAAACCTGAAGTTTGAGGTTTTAGTGATTTTTGTCAACAGCTCTTCCTAAGGAACTCAATTTTTAAAAGGAAGCATGAACTCACAGACAGGATGCCTAGTCACTAATCCATGAACACTCGATTTCAGTGCCCCGTACTTTAATATGGCCAGTTGTCCTGCACTCAACCCTGCTACCTGACTGCAACTCTCAGACACATGTCATGCTGGGTGACCCTGTCTTGTCCACTAAGGGAGAGAGCTGGAATTAGAGTCCTCCATCTCTCGGCCTCCTTTTATCTATCACATCCCTCGATTTGATGTGCCTTTTGGCTGCAAGGTAAGAGGACATCACGTCCAGCTCTTGATTGATGTCCATCTGGACGCACTGATTGATAGCTTGATCAAATTAGCCAGCGCCATTCGGGCGCTGTCAGTCCGCCGCCTGTCAGCGCTGGTCTGTCATGCCAGTGCCTTCGACTTCCTCACTGAGCTGAGTGGCCCACCACCTCCACACCAGCCACCCATCTCAAAATGTCCACAACAATTGCCCAGCTCAGCTCACCATGCCTCCTCAACAATCACTCAACCCCACCCAAACACCTTCACACCATTTACCCAGCCCATCCTACCATCTCTACACCATTTACCCAACCCATCCCACCATCTCCACATCATTCACCTAACCCATCTCACCACCATGCACCTGCTGGTACTGGCTTATGGAGTCTCACAGTTAGGCTTATGATACACAGTTATGCTTATGATACACAGCTATACATATCTGTTGCACCGGATGAGGTTATCAATTTAGATAAGCTGTTAACCTATCTGTACAGCACTGTTAGCTGGATGAATAGAAGTTTTTTTAAACTAAAAAGAAACAAGACAGAAGTACTTGTAATTGGTAGTGAAGGAAAGAGAGAAAAAAGGTTTATAGCAAACTTGGAAATCTGGCTCTACAGACAAAATCTGAAGTTAGAAATCTTGGTGTAATTATGGATTGTGATTTAACTTTTAAACTACACATTGCCAACATTACTAAAACTTCATTCTGTCATTTAAGAATAGCAAGGATGAGACCCTACCTCCAGTTGCAAGATGCCAAGAAACGGATCCATGCTTTTGTGTAGTCTTACCTTGATTATTGAAATGCATTGCTCACAGAAATTCCTGCAAATACAACAAACAAACTACAACATGTACAAAATGCAGCAGCAAGAATATTAACACATACTAGAAAATGAGGTCTTAATAGACAAGTTTTAGCTTCACTCTACTGGCTGCCTGTTTCTTTTAGAATTAACTGTAAAATTTTACTACTAGTTTTTAAATGCAGCACCTTCATACATTTCTGAATACCTGATGAACTATGTTACAGTGCCCGAAGATCATTTAGTGCTAGCCTACTCCATATTCAAAGAAAGAAAGTTTAAAAAAAAGTGTTGAAGCAGCCTTTTGTTTTTATGCTCCGAAGGTCTGGAACGCACCACCAACAAATATGTAACAGGCTCCTTCTATCACATATTTTAAGAAACAGCTTAAAACTTTTTTTCACTTTAGCATTTAACTAGCTTTTATTTTCCTTGCTTTTATTGGAATGTTACTTTTGCATTCATCTTCTTTTAATTATTTTTTTTTTTTTGTCGCTGCTTTTATTTTTTATCTCACTGTTTACTAGTTTTATTTGACTACCTCTTGTTTCTTTTCTTTTTCTTTTGTTTTTTCAGTTTACACTCTAAAGCACTTTGAGCTGCATTTTAAATGTATGAAAGGTGCTATATAAATAAAGACCATAATCATTATTGTTGTTATCCATACCCATCACCTCCACACCAATCATCAAACCTATCCCAAACACCTTCATGTCATTGACTCAACCCAGGACCTCCACAACAATTACCCATGCCAGTCTAGCAATCTCACAACAATAACCTGAACCAGTCCATCTCCTCTGTACTAATCACCCAACCCAATGCTTATACCCCAGGCAGTAGTTATCCATTCCAACTCAGCTCAGTGATCTGAACCAGCTAACCACATCCATGCTAATCAAGCTTGACCAAATTGTGTCAAAGAGAACATTGTGGTCTATTGTAATCTGGACTTTATTTGCCAGTCTGTGATCTGGATGTCTGAATTTGGCACTAGATTGAAGGATGAGTTGGGCTGCATGAGTGCATGCTCATGTGCATGTAACTGATTGTTAGAGCTGTGTATTATGGGACTTCTAGCAGAGGCGCTAAGTGTAATACAGCGGGTGCTTTTTATCTTTCAGCACTGAGATTTCCTGATTGAATGGTTTGGGTTCTGAACATGGTGGCACGCCTCTAGGGTGATTTAATGTGCTGTAACATTTATTATGGCTTAGTGAATGCGGCAGACCCGTGGAGAGCCCATCTGCTGACGCTTATGAGACTGACCTCTGTTAGCTGCAGTGCTGGCCGCTATCAAATTGTGCCAGAGCAGCGGTGGCATAGAAATTAAGCAGTGTGACGCGGCGAAGAAATTGGATCAAGAAATGACCGGCGCTAGAATGTTTAATCACTCGTCTTAGAGAGAGAGAGAGAGAGAGAGAGAGAGCGAGCGCGAGCAAGAGCAAGAACAGAGACTGTAACTTCACCCCCAACTCGGACATCAAAGACCACCACTTATTGTTGCTCAATGTGAATCCCATCCAGTCAGTCACAGCCCTGGGCGGTGTGTGTTTTGTTATGTGGTGACATTATGATGTGATGAGAGGAGTTTGAATTTACTGCCCAGTTTCAACAATGGCCTCAACAAAACACAAAAGAAGAACTTGAGTGTTCTTTCCACTTTAGAGTGAAGTCATTTTCCTGTTGCATATTTGACTGGACATATTGGTAGCCCATGGTCTTTTTAAGCAGTGTAAAGTTGAAGCCATCCAGTGGTGAACGGTGACTATTAGAGTCAGACTTTCAGTTCAGGCCACAGATGTTCAAGCCTCTGTGCTATGCTAATTACGGCTAGCACCCCTATGGGATTTCTAATAGTATGTTAGTACTAAGCTGATGTTGCTGCACATTAACATTTTTGGCTATTTTAGATTAAACACAGATACTTGATGCTTGTAATTGACCTTACATGTTTCTTTTAAAGCATGTTACAGACATTAATATATATTTTTCCTTATTCACTGACCATCACACCTATATGAGCTTGTTGGACATTCCACTCCAAAATTATGGACATTAATATGGAGTTGCCCCACTTTGTGGCTATAACAGTTCCTATTCTTTTGCGAAACTTTCCACAAGATTTTGAACTGTGTCTGTGGGAATTTTTGTCCATTCAGTCAAAAGAGTATTTGTGAAGTTACACCAAGAAGGCCTGGCTCACAATTAACATTCCAACACATCCCAAAGGTATTCAGTGGGATTGAGATCAGGGCTCTATGCAGGCCACTAGAATTCTTCCTCACCAAAATCGTCAAAACATTCTCTATGGAGCTTGCACTTTCATGCTGGAACAGTGAAGAGACTTGCCCAAACTTCCGCATCAGAAGCATGTAATTGTCTGAAATGTCTTTAGGTTTAACGTTTATATCACCCTACACTGAAACTACCGGGCCTTAGACCAAACCCTGAAAAACAGCCCCAGACCATTGTCCCTCCTCCACCAAACTTTACAATTCATACTATTCATTCTAGTAGGTAGCGTTCTCCTGGCATCCGCTAAACCCAGATTCATGATTCATCACTCCACAGAACATGTGCTTTACATATTTCCAGCTGATACTTGGCATTGTACTTAATATCCTAGACTTGTGTGTAGCTGCTCAGCCATAGAAACCTTTTTCTTGAAGCTCCTGATGCGCCGTTCTTAAACTCTGTAGTGAGTGATGAAACAGAGAATAGACACTTTTCACACACTTTGCACTTTAGCATACTGCGTTCCCGCTCTGTGAGTTTGGTCTACCACTTATTTGCTGACCTGTTGTTGCTCCTAGACACTTCCATTCTACAGTAATAGCACTTACAGTTGATCAGAGAGGATTTAGCAGGGCAGGAATTTTACGATCTGACATGTGCCAAACGTGGCTTCCTATGACAGTGCCACAGTCTTTTGTTTCTAAACTAAAACTAAGACTTTACAATGAAATAAGAGTTTTCCCAAAATATTTGTGGAGTTCAAATACAATTAGCATGATGATTCTATTAAATAAAATTGATTTAAAAGTAACAGGTATGTTTTTAGTTCCCATAAATTATAAAGCTTTCTCTGAGAGCCTGTAAGGTCCGGAGTGTTCCCCGCTGAAGCCATCCATTGCAATTGATTTGCTAACTGTGTGTCCACAGGCTGCTGAGAGATTACGGGCACTCTCTGAGGAGCACTACAAGAACGGAGTGAAGAAGGGACAGACAAGCTTGTAAATGGAGTTAAAGTGAGTACAGACTGCCAAAATTTGGAGGAGGCACTCAGGAAGGTCTGCTGAAACAGAATGCTTATATGAATATGAAGTATTCAAATAAAAAAAACCCAGCTTGCTTGTTTCCTAAACCTTGTCTCATGATTTGTCAAGATATTTCCAGGGCCAGCTGAGGATACCTTAGTTGGTTTCAGAGCAAGCCACGAGACCAGATACTTGCTCAGCTTATGGATGCTGATATGATTTGTAAAATCATTTGTATGCCTGAAGTGCAGGTTCTCTAGTGCATTTGTTGATTTAACATTAAAAACACGAAATGAATCATCAAGCCAACATTTCTCAGGGAAACAAATGTATGCAAGTCCCTCTCCACCATAGCTCTTGAGCAATTGGTCAGTAATGGAACATGCCAGCTGTTATTTTCTGAGTAATATTTATGGTGCTGATCTGTATTCGTAAATATACTGTCTTCTGTCTTTTTACCTTTTTTGCTTGTGCACTAAACAGTTCTGTATTTGTTTCCACAGAAATCTTGTCATTTTACTGTAAAACCTTTAACTGATATTGTTCCTTCACTTTTGTTTTACATGATTGTATAGTCAAGAAATGAGTGCTCATAAAGAAAAGCCAAAGATTAATTCCCTCTATAGCGAAAACAAAGTTAATGCTGTCTTACCTAATATGATGAGTAACCCTTTCAAATACTTATTAATTGCTCATCTGTTTTAGGAATTGCTTATCAATAAATAATTACCCACAAATAAGATGCATGCTGAGACTCTATAACAGAAACAAAAAGTGTTTGAAAGCATAATCCACGGCAGCTTCCCCAAAACTGCCGTGGATTATGCAAAAGTGCAGAGACTTGTTACGAGGGTTGTCCTTCCTCTTTTAGCAGTGCCTGTAGGACTTGAGCTTCAGTTAAGCAAATGTCCCAAATTGATGACGTTCAGAGGCGAGACGTTTTCCCAGAAAAGCCAATTAACAGCGGCACAACAGAAGGCCCTGCGCCTTCGCCAGGTGCTCTATTGCTCTCTCTCTCCGTCAGCAGCTCTGGATGCGCTGAAGACTCCGCCGGCCCAGCCTGTTTCTGCCCCTGCCCATCTGCTCCAGTGTCTGGCGCTATTCGAGATGCTGGACCAGACGCGCTCACACAGTCAACGTCATTGAGCTCTTCAGTATATTTTAGAGATGGAGGGAATTATAACTCATAAACAGGCTATAGGCAGCATCTAGGTTTAAGAGAGTGCTTTGTTCACTTTGTCAGTTGGTTTGTCACTAAATGGAATTGATGAAATGCACTACAGGCTTAGTTTAGAAGCAGCGATTATATGAAAAAACATATTTTTCTAGGAGATAACAGACAATAATCTGTTCATTAGCACAGAACAATAGAGCTTGGATAAATATCAGCAGCAGTGCAGCAATGGTGTCCAACAAACTGATCCTTAATGAGTTTAGCTCCTGGTTATCCTGCAGAGTTTTATTGCAGCTCTAATCAGATCCACCTGATGCTCCTATTCAGGTGCTCCTGAAAGGCTAGATTAACTGAATCAGGTTTGTTACATTAAGAGGAGTTTGAAATTAATTAAAACTGGTCAGTGTAAGGGACTGTTATCAACAGAGTGTGAAGACTTTTTTCACTGAATGTGCTACAGTGAGAGTGCAGTGCTGCACGCCAATGAAATTTCCTAGAAAAATAAATTATTTTATTAGACGAGATAGAATAACATTGTTTTGGGTTCTGGCAAAGCAGCTTGATTGCGAACTCTTGTACTGTGTACATATACATACCCATACATGCATATATACACTGACTGGCCACTTCATTAGGTACACCTCTTTGTTTCTACACTCATTGTCCATTTTATCTGCTCCATATATCATATAGGGGCATTTTATGGTTCTACAATTACAGACTGTAGACCATCTGTTTCTCTGCATACTTTGTTAGCCCCCTTTTACCCTGTTCTTCAATGGTCAGGACCCACAGGACCACCACAAAACAGGTATTGTTTGGATGGTGGGTCATTCTCAGCACTGCAGTGACACGGACATGATGTGGTGTGTGTTAGTGTGTGTTGTGCTGATCTGAGTGGATCAGACACAGCAGTGCTGCTGGAGTTTTTAAACACCTCAGTATCACTGCTGGACTGAGAACAGTCAACCAACTAAAAAGCATCCAGCCAACAGCGTCCTGTGACCGCTGATGAAGGATTAGATAATGACCAACACAAACTGTGCAGCAGCAGATGAGCTGTTTTCTCTGACTTTATGTCTACAAGGTGGACCAACAAGGTAAGTGTGTCGAATAAAGTGGACAGTAAGTGGACACAGTGTTGACACCAGCAGCACTGCTGTGTCTGATCAGCTCTTACTAGCGCAACACACACTAACACACCACCACCATGTCAGGGTCACTGCAGTGCTGAGAATGATCCACCACCCAAATAATACCTGCTCTGTGGTTGTCATGTGGGGGTCTTGACCACTGAAGAAAAGGGTAAAAGGGGACTAACAAAGTATACAGAGAAACAGATGGACTACAGTCTGTAATTGTCGAACTACAAAGTGCACCTATATAGTAAGTGGAGCTGAAGTGGGCAAAGAGTGTAGATACAAGTTAGGCGCACCTAATGATGTGACCGGTTGGTGTATTTGCACAAACAGGTTGTAAATTAAATGAAAAATCTGAAAAAATGAGTGGGGAAACAACGCACGCAGATGCTGTGGCATGTGTAAACTGCTGAGTGGGCCCAGGTGACCTTGATTTTGGCTCAAAGGGGCAGAAGGGAAAAGATCTAGGTGATGATAAAAGAGAGTTCACAAAAGCTTTAGTCACAAAAGCTTCTCAACTGGCTAGTGTTTCAATAGTAACTGACTGAAGTGGCATCTGCATTTAGATTTATAGGGAAAGACATCAGTAAAGTAAGTTGGCAGTCGTGATTGAAAGAAAAGAAACTGTTCCTCAGGTGACTGAGAACATCAAGGCAGGATGTGATCAGACTGCCAGCAAGAGCAGTTTGTCCACAACTACATAGAGAGGGATATTGTAGGGCTGCAACGCGTAATATCTACTATTACAAAGACATGCAGATTTGAGAGTTCAGTGGTATAAGAACCATATATACTTGTCTAGAGCGATGTGAAAATAAGTGATACATTCAAACAAGTTATCCTTCACCATGTTCTCCACAAGTGGGGGAGTGCATGTGCAGCATACATTAAGACAAAAGTACAGGCCACAAAGCTTGACCCCATACAGTAAGGGAGGTCTGGTTGCTCAGTTATGCTGTAATGGGAATTTTGCTGGTAGGGTTTGGGTCCACTTGTCTCTCTAGATGGAAGGAACACAAAGTTATTCTGACTGATGATCTTTATCTTATGATGTAACTCTAATCCCGATGAGGGTGGTCTCTTTCAGGATGACAGTATCCCTATCCACGGGTCACTGAACGAGTTAGTGAGTATGAAAATGATGTAAATCGTATGCTATTAGCTTCACAGTCACCACATCTCAATTGAACCGAACGCTTTATTGTTTTTTTTCTTTAGTTTGCCACCTGCCTAATATATGTTTACTTGTATGAAAATATAATAGATTTGCTCAATGAGAAATATTCACAATGCTTATATGCTGAAATTACTGCATCATAAAATCACTGTGTGCTGTACATAAAAAAAACAGTGATTTTCACTGTTAGGACAGGGAGGTTTATCCACGACTGAGAGTAAGTATGGTTTGATCAATTCTGAGCCATCATATTAAGACTAATTTCTTGCACTGAACAGTGTGTCTCTTTTAAGTCTGAGATTGGAAATCCATAAAAACTTTTTCTCCCTCTTACACCATTTTCTCATGTCTGGCAGTGAAATAATCACAAAATAACATCTTCATCTGAAAATCAAAAAGCACTTTTGTGTGTCTGTCAAATTGTAGCAGACATACAGTGTACAGGCCTGCACTATTTTTCTTAGGGATATTATGTTTTGCTGTTTGAGTCAAGTGTGGGAAATATGCACAGAGCGAAGGACATCAGGCGATAACATTATCTTTTGGCTAGGGTGGTAATTTGTCTTCGGCTGCAGATTGGATCCTTGTCCTGTCATCTGCCGCCTGAGCATTTTTTCCCCCCCGCGTGTCTGCCCTGCTCCTTCCTTCGCCGTCCTTTCTCCCCCCATCCTTCACGCCGAACTTCTCCCAAACTCCCCACTTTTCTCATTAAAAGCGCTGTGTTATGGATGGCTCCCCTGCTCCGGGTTGGAGTATTGATACTGATCGATCATTCTGATTTCCATAAGAGCTTCAGCGCTGCTGCCAGTGCAGTCTGTCCCTGTCCCAATCCGGCTCCAACCCCTAGCGGCAGCTCATCTGTCTTCGGCCCAATTTATAGGTCATGAATGCCATTACCATCTGGCCTTCTCTGTAATCCATAAGGAGATATGTGTTTATTAAAAACTTTGTCTCTGGATCGATCCAGGCCCCCCCGCTTTTTTCCTCCTTCAGTGCAAAAACCACAGTGGCTGCATGTCCTCCTGGCAGTGAGGGATGCTGATGATGGCAGATTAATTTTCTTTTTAGGAGACTTACTTAAACGATTCAGAACATCGCAGGGCAGACTTGTGTATCATAGTTATACATCTGAAAGCTAGTGAATTATTTCTGCTGTTGAGTTTGAGGTAGTTCACTAACAAATGGCTTCAAATGCTGCTTTGTCACATATTTATAAGGGCTATGCATGTCTCTTTTCCTGAAACTTTTTGGCTCAGAACAAAGCTGTTGGATGGGTTCTTCTACTGGGAAAACATAGATGGGTTTTGGAACCACATCCATGGACGGAACTCCGAGCCATCAGCACTTTTTTCATAGCTCCTGGGAGAAGGACAGGGCAATATTTATTTACAGTTATTTGTGCTCAAAACATTTAGAGCCACTGAATTGGTTATCAAGTACACGTTCAGGAAGACAAGGACACTGTTCTAATGAATATTACGTCAAATATGAGTATATACTGTAGACATAGTAAGTGACTTCTCCATTCATATTTTTCTTTCAATACCTAGGGAAATGAGTCAGTCTATTCAAAACAGGAAGAAACCTACCACAATCAAGTCTTTAAAATGATCATTTATTGTTGTATGTAATGCATGGATTTTGATGTGTGTGTTGACAGATATGTGTCATTTATGAATAACTGACTGACAAATGTGAATCGCCAAGGCAGAAAGATGGGTCTAAGCAAAAATTCGAACAATAAGATTTGTAACATAGCTTCTGCTTAGCTTCTGACTGTGTGGTCATCAACTTTAGTCGTCTCATCATGTCTGGTCTGACTTACTCGTTATATGAAGTGTTGAGTTTCAGCTTCCTGCTCCCAGGAAGCTGAATCATGCCCTTCTATCACTGCACCCGGCCGTGCCTCATGGTGGGATAAGTCTACCAGACTTATCCCAGGGAATGCCGGCAAGCAAATGTAATGGTCATTCCAAGATTCCGGAACAGGCAGAATGGTTTGTGTGTTTTTGTTTTTGTACATATTTAGGACACTGTCCTGTCTTGAGAACTTAAAAGTACCTAATGTTTTGTCTTTTGAAACTGGCTACTGTGTACTGAATTTAAGGTTGTTGATTTTTCATCTGCATTGACCAACCCATTTCTTCAAATTTAATGCCGTTTTACCATTTATTTACTGAATTTAATATATTGTGGGAAAAAATGTACCATGTGCAAAAGGTTGTTTAATCCAAATCTGTTGTAGAC